CAGGAATGGAGCAGATTCCTCTGTCCCAAGTGGTAGGTTCCAAAAGGTCCCAGGATGGCATGTGAGCCACCCAGATGGTAATGTGAAAAGACACTCGTGATTTGGGAGTTGTAAGGGCTCCCTTCTGCTCCGTTTGCTCAGATTGGGCAATGGCAGACTCTGCCTGCACTGCCAGCTGCTGACTCCACCCAGCACCCTCCACTGGGGAGCTCTCCTTGTCCCACTGACAGGAGAGCCAGGGGGTTCTCTGGGGCTTCCTGGCTGGCCTTGTCCTTGCTCTCCAGGCCTTGCCCTACTGTGCCTTCACTGCTCCTCTGCCCCCGCCTCTCCTGGCCTCCTTTGCTCCCTGTGGTGGTTTTTTCCCTCCCACGCTCAAAGTCTTGTCCTCCTCACCCCTGCCTCCCCACCCGCTGCAGTACATGATCTGGCGCCCTTGTCAGCTTGCCTCGTAGTGCTGACAGCAGCCGCCCCCTTCCTCTTTTATGCTTAAGGACTCTGCTTCGGGAGCCTGGGGTGAGTGGTCCTGATGCACCAGCAAGTGGCAAACGTACCCTTAGGGGCCAGCTCAGCCTCCCCAAGGCCAGAGCCCAGGTGGTGGACTCAGCTGGGCAAGCAAGGGTCGCTGCAGAGGGAGGGACTCAGCCCCACCCCGAGGGCCTTCCCCAGGGTGGGAGGGAGTCTGAGTGGTAGTGCTGCCCAATGAGTGGTTTAGTCATGGCTGTCTCGGGTTGGCTGCCTGGCAGGATGCCAGAGAGTGAGGCTAGAGTCTGTCCAGTTGGTCTAGGCTGGTGCTGTGACCACCTGGCAGTGCCCTGCTTGAGTTCACTGCTCCTCCCCCCCTCACTGGACTCTCTAGGGTCACCCAGGGCCCTGTTCCTCAGGAGATAGGAACTGCCTTGCTGTGTGAGAAAGGGTAAATGAGACCATCTTCCTCATCACACCAGAAACGAGTTGGAACTGGTTTCTATAGTGGCCTCTGAGGCGATGGGAGGATCTCACTCACTGTGTACCTTAGAGCCCCTTAGGACTGGGAGCCAGTCTGGCAAAGCTGCCCGCAGAAGAGGCTCCACACCCTTCCTTAGATGGCCAGTGTGGCTCCCCCTGTGAGCCCTTTTAGACGCTGCCCCAGCTAAGCCATGTTCCCTGGGCCCTTCCCCGCCCCTGATACGGATGTTTGTGTTTCAGTTCCCAAAAGGCAGGATGCTGATGATCTCTCTGGTGATACTTTCAACTATGAAGGTATAACTTTTAAATTTGCTTACGGGGGAAGACATGTTGTCTTACTTAGTTGGAAATTGAGACATTTGTGGATTCCATTAAGGAAATGGTAGTGTGGAGGTGACAGACCTCACGGGGGTTCCCCAGACCAGCAGAACACGTGCTGGGAAGTCTGGCTTTTGGGAGGGAGGGAGGCGTGTAGTGTGTGTGATATGCACTTCTGGAACATACCCTGCCACTGGGCCTCTCACTACCTGTGTGCTCTGGCTCTGCCTCAGAGTTTGTGCATAAAACAAGGGTCCCAGGGCAGGTGTCCCTGAAACTGAGTAAGTGCGTGTAAAGTGCCCAGATCCTGGCATGGAACTGTGTCCACACTAACAGACCCTGCCATGGAACTGCGTCCACACTAACAGACCCTGCCATGGAACTGCGTCCACACTAACAGACCCTGCCATGGAACTGCGTCCACACTAACAGACCCTGCCATGGAACTGCGTCCACACTAACAGACCCTGCCATGGAACTGCGTCCACACTAACAGACCCTGCCATGGAACTGCGTCCACACTAACAGACCCTGCCATGGAACTGCGTCCACACTAACAGACCCTGCCATGGAACTGCGTCCACACTAACAGACCCTGCCATGGAACTGCGTCCACACTAACAGACCCTGCCATGGAACTGCGTCCACACTAACAGACCCTGCCATGGAACTGCGTCCACACTAACAGACCCTGCCATGGAACTGCGTCCACACTAACAGACCCTGCCATGGAACTGCGTCCACACTAACAGACCCTGCCATGGAACTGCGTCCACACTAACAGACCCTGCCATGGAACTGCGTCCACACTAACAGACCCTGCCATGGAACTGCGTCCACACTAACAGACCCTGCCATGGAACTGCGTCCACACTAACAGACCCTGCCATGGAACTGCGTCCACACTAACAGACCCTGCCATGGAACTGCGTCCACACTAACAGACCCTGCCATGGAACTGCGTCCACACTAACAGACCCTGCCATGGAACTGCGTCCACACTAACAGACCCTGCCATGGAACTGCGTCCACACTAACAGACCCTGCCATGGAACTGCGTCCACACTAACAGACCCTGCCATGGAACTGCGTCCACACTAACAGACCCTGCCATGGAACTGCGTCCACACTAACAGATCCTGGCATGGAACCGTGTCCACACTAACAGATCTGCCGTGGAACTGCATCTACACTAACAGATCCTGTAATGGAACTGTGTCCACACTAACAGATCCTGGCATGGAACTGCATCCACACTAACAGATCTGCCATGGAACTGTGTCCACACTAACAGATCCTGGCATGGAACTGTGTCCACACTAACAGATCCTGCCATGGAACTGCATCTACACTAACAGATCCTGTAATGGAACTGTGTCCACACTAACAGATCCTGGCATGGAACTGTGCCCACACTAACAGATCCTGCCATGGAACTGCGTCCACACTAACAGATCCTGGCATGGAACTGTGTCCACACTAACAGATCCTGGCATGGAACTGCATCCACACTAACAGATCTGCCATGGAACTGTGTCCACACTAACAGATCCTGGCATGGAACTGTGCCCACACTAACAGATCCTGCCATGGAACTGCGTCCACACTAACAGATCCTGCCATGGAACTGTGCCCACACTAACAGTCCTGGCATCTGAGAAGGAAATGAGTGACCAGTGACCTGACTGGCCTTGCCTGTGACGTATGAGATTCTTTGCCAGAGGCTGATGCCTGCGATGGCTGGCAGCCGTGTGCCACTCAGCACTCATGTGGTTCCGCAGTCCTGGAGCCCTACTAATGAGTTCTTCGGGCTATCTCGCTCCCAGAATACTGTGCTGCCAAGGCGGTCACCGGGCCCTGCCGTGCAGCCTTCCCACGCTGGTACTTCAATGCTGAGAAGAACGCCTGTGATAACTTCATCTTTGGGGGGTGCCGGGGCAACAAGAACAACTACCTGTCCGAGGAGGCATGCATGCTCCGCTGCTTCGGTGAGTCAGCCTGACTCGCTCAGGACCAGTGGTGGGCAGCGAGACGACTCGAGTCCATTTCCCCACTCCTAAGACAAGGGCCTTGGACATGCCATCCTTTGGACCCCCCAGCACGGCAAAGCCTCAGAGCCTCCCAGAAGAGCTGGAAGAAGAGTTCCTCACACAAAGAACCCCACGCCCTGCCAGCATGAAAGCCCATAGGCTAAGGGGGGGGCGGTCTTTGGATGGTGGCGGTTTTGGGGGTAAGGAGAGCTGCGAGCTGGCCTCTCAGGGATGTTTGTTCTCTTCCAGGCAAACAGACCTATCCTGGCCTGCCTCCTGGCACTGAAGGTAAATGGCTTCCACCCTCCTCTGCCTGCCTTCCTCCCTCCTTCCTGACTAAGCTCAGCCTGCCAGCTGTGTTTTTGTAGGCTTATGTTGTCTTGGACACATTATCCTATACTATAAACATCTTATCTTTATGGCAGAAAGTTGTTTCCACACAAGAATGGCAAGGCAGCTTGGAACATGTGGTGGGTGTTTATGTGCGACAGACACAGACGAGGCTGGGAGGGAGTTCACCTCTGGCCAGGCCGGGCAGCGGGGGTCTGGAGAATAGGTTCTTACTGTAGGCCTGTGGCAACCTGCACATGGGCCTGAAGCTGACCCAGGGTTTGGAGGGAACTGCTGCCATGGGCTCTGAAGAGCCGGTCACAGTGATGGGAAAGATGGCCCCCAGGCCAGCACCAGCGGTCTAAGGGGTGAGCCGGCCCGAGTTGAGGACACTGAGCCAAGCCTGAGTGGAGCCTAAGTCAGAATGGTGGTGTTGACACACAGGACTTGCCACACTGGTTTGGCCTCTTTCTCGGCCTATTTCCCTGTTAAGGAGCCAAGACCTGGCCTGCAAGTATGTTCTGTTCTAAAAGTGGCGACAGGTAGGGTTGGTGCCTGAGTGAGGTGAGGGGAGGTGGGGGATCCAAGCAGCTGTCACAGGAGGTCACATTGCTTAGATGGAGCCCCACCTGAAGGAAGAGCATCTTAACTGACCGGTGGAACTACAGGGAGGACTGTTAAGTCTACCAGGGCAGTTAGCATGAGGATCTCCTTCCGGTACTGCACCTTTACCTCCACCTTCATTACACAGGTGGCTACTCAGTCACCTGGCCACCTGTAGGTCATAGCGTGTGTGAGGCCAAGACCTGTGGGATTTAATGTTTGCACACACACCAAAGGTAAGTGTTGTACACCCCTGCTTACCTCTCTCAGCCTGAGACTCCTGTGCAGGAGAAGGTAGCAGGACACCAGAGCCAAAGTGGGCTTTTGCTGCGAGATCAGGAATGCAAGTAGCCACTCGCACATAGTGTGCCTCTGCTTGTTCAGGCTCTCCTTGGTGACTCCTGGTGGCTATGTCAGCTCTCCCACCTGCAGTTCTTCAGACCTTTCAGAGTGGGGAGTGGGTATTTGGGCCTCGTCCAGAGACACCTTACCTTTCCTTGGTAAGCAGCCAGACAGCCCGCTCAGGCTGCGTCTGTCCTTGCCTCTCCGGCTGAGACCTCCCTCTCGTCCCCAGTGGTCGTCCTGGTGGGGCTGTTCATCATGGTCCTGATCCTTTTCCTGGGAGCCTCTGTGGTCTACCTGATCCGTATGGCTCGGAGGAACCAGGAACGCGCCCTCCAAACCATCTGGAGCTCCGGGGATGACAAAGAGCAGCTGGTGAAGAGCACGTATGTCCTGTGAAGGCCACCCTGTCACCACGAGACCTGGGGAGCACGGTGCACAGAGCACCAGGAAACACGTGTGCTTTTTAAAAATAGAGTGATTGCTTTGTATTGTGAGATCGGCAGGGCCTCAGTCTGTTTCTTACTTGAGAAGGGAAGAAGGCCAGGCGGGCTCACTTTAGAAGCCCTCGTGGGGAAGAAGGTCCGTTTGGCGTTGCAGATGGCCTGGCAGCAGCCTGGCACCTTCATAAGCTTGCTTTCTTTCCTCCAGGTGTTCTCTTTGCTTGAGTTGCATCCCACTGCTTCCTTTCCCTTCACAGCAGTGGTGTTTAGTACTTGCCTTTGTTCATTTGATTGATTTGTATGTGTGTTTTTTAAGCAAGCAGAAACATAATGTTTTTTTTATTAGGATTCTGAGAATAACAAAATGAAATGTCCAAGTTTAATAAAAAGGGCCTCCCTTTTAAAATAAATTTCAGTCTGTGCTGTTTTCTTCATGGGTGAGACTCCTGATATAAACTACCATAGTTGCCACGGGGCATCTCTTCTGGAAGCAAACCTCTTAAAATAGTGACTTGGACCAATAGGTGGCATGGTGGTTAAGTGTCTGGATCCCACATGGCCAACTGCCTGGTTTGAGTCCTGGACCCCACAGCTTGAAAAATATGCAGGGTGTCCAAAATCTCAAGAGGAAAAATGGAGAAAAGATTGTTGCCTGATGATCCTCCCTGCGAGTGACTTCTCACTTTCCTTCTCTGTCTCTCTCTGGAGAGCACATCTATCTATAGCAAACTTTAAAAAAAATAAAAAGAAAGAAAGAAAGAAAAGGCAAGTTTCACTGTGCAAGACTTAATCTTTGGATGCAAACCACAATCTGAGGTAAGAGCCCATGAAATTCCACCAGGCGACGCTTCACATCTACTGCCTGGGGTAAGCTCTGAGACTTTATTCTAGTTTACTTTCTGTAAATTTAGGGCACAACCCACTGAATTGAATTTTCTGGCCCCCCTGGACTATAACCCATCCCTGGACACACTGCCCTGGAGGGCACAGAGACAACCAGGACCTTCTGAGGACTGGGTGTTTTTAACTAAAGTCTCTTCGGCATCATGATCTATACTTCTTATTGTAGTTCCACTGTGTTCTTGGAGGAGTGGAGGGAGAGGTGGCTTGTGGCAAGCCTTCATTGCTTTCTCTGTCAGGCCTACTATAAGCCCCTGTGTTGAAATTCAACACCCCCCACCACCACCACCACTGAGTCTGGCCTCCAGATTTAGGCCTAGTCCTTCTGCCTACCCGAGGGTGTCCCCTCCTGCGTCTGGACTCTGGAACCCCTTTTCTCCCCTCCACCCCAGACAAGGTAGTCCTGAGTGTGCAGCATCTTGGCAGCCCATGAGGTCCAGCTGGCACTGGGCCTCCACCCACCTCGGTGATTCAGGGACTGAGCCCTCACTTCTGTCAGTAGCTGGGCCCCATGTCACAGTTCCAGACATTGCTTGGGGCTCTCCTTGACACAAAGGGTGGCCCTTCCTAGAAATCCTTTAGGGATTGAAAATCATATCTAGAAGTAAATTGGGCAAGCACCTCACCGCTCCTTCCCTACCTTCCCCTCCCAGAGTGGGCACTGCCCCAGGCAGTCACCTGAGTTGATGACCAAGTGAAACCAATGGGATCCCAGAGCTCTGAGAGAGCCTGTGGTCCAGGGAAAGACGGCCTGGGTGTTGGGAAGGCCTCGCCCATGAGTCCAGTGTGCACAGTGGTGGGTCACCTAGCTCTTTCAGACCTGCTTGTCTTCACCCCTACCAAGGCTGGTTGTGAGGGCTACAGGAGCACCAAGATGGCGGGTTACCCCTGGGCAGTGTGGGATGAGGAAGCCTCTCTGAGGGCTCGTGTCTCACCTCTGCCCACCCACCAGTTTTCCTGGTGTCTCCCCTCCCTACCTCTTCCCTGCACCCCACGAGCACCTTCAAATGCCCCCATTTCCATTGTTCCATTCATTGTCCCCTTTCCTGTTCAGGAAGTCCAAGTCCTTCAGCGCTTCTAGCCTGGCAGGAGGCCTTTCCCCACCGACTCCAACAGGGCTGTCTCCTCCAGTATTCGTCACATAAGGATAATGAGACTGCTGGGAATCACTTTAATTCTGTAGTAGGAAGATAAGTGAGTTCTCCTAAGACTGACCCAGCTTTTATACATTTTTCATGGTGTGCCTCAGTGTTTCTAGTGAGAAGCTGCTGCTCTGATTCACTTCTGCTCAAACTTTTCCCTTTTGTCCCTTGGTGAGGAAGGGCTCCCACATTCCCACCCACTCCTGACCATGTCAGGCCTGTGGACTTTTCATGGGGCTACCTGCGGTATCCCCCTGGCCGGTGCTGTTCCAGCTGCTTTCTGGTCTGGCCGGCCTGCTCCTGCAATGCCATTGTGGCCCTTGAAGCTAAACTGTGTCATGTTTTCCACTTGCTGACCCATTTGCCGTCTGACAATGGTGCTCTTATTGCAGAGGCTGCCTGACAGTGGGCGAACAGCCAGGGTATTCAGTGGCAATGAACACCCCTTGTCGTCCTCAGGCTGCTGGTGTCATCAAGGGATGGAGTGGGCTTTTCAAAAAGGCAGCTCAGATTTCTCTGACCGCCTTCTCCTGAGCCACACGTTTTGTAAGGCAGACAATGTGGCTGCCTCTACAAGGGGCTCTCCCGGGGCATAGAGGTCGGGGGTCCTGCTCTCATCGCTCTGGTATGGCGTCTTTCTTCCCTGTAGCAGCAAGCCCAAGCCCACCTGATTACTGCAACCTGATCACAAGGAGCCCCAGGGATTCGAAGCTAATTTGTGCCTCTGGCTTCTTTCCTGGACTGACTGGACCTTAGTCCTAAAGACTGACTACTTGGTTGAGGGTCCTGTTTACCAAGTCTCCCTACAGTGGCCTTGTGAGAAATATAAGGGTTCTTCAGAAGGTTCATGGAAATGGGTATTGTTAAAAAAAATAAAATAAAATAAAAAGATTTCAAAATTCTTTTGCACCCAAATGAATTCATACTTTAATTCTCTTTCCTTTTTTAACCCACCCTTGTGTAATGGGTCTTGATAAATTTGTAAAAAAAATTAGGCTAGGGAGCCAGCAGGTGGTGTGGTGGTTGAGGTGTTTGAGTCCCACGTGGCTGACTGCAGTTCAAGTCCCAGACCTGGTGGTTTGCTTTCTCACTTTCCTCTGTCTCTCTCTGGTCAAATTAAAATGAAATTAATTAATTAATTATTTTTAAGTTAGGCTAGGTAAAGTGGTTTGTGCCTATATCAGTTACCTAAGAAGCTTAGGCAGGAGGATCACAAGTTCAAAGCCAGCCTTGGCAACATAACCAAAAGCTGCTTGTATTTAAAAAAAAAAAAAAAACGTTTTGTAAGGCAGACAATGTGGCTGCCTCTACAAGGGGCTCTCCCGGGGCATAGAGGTCGGGGGTCCTGCTCTCATTGCTCTGGTATGGCGTCTTTCTTCCCTGTAGCAGCAAGCCCAAGCCCACCTGATTACTGCAACCTGATCACAAGGAGCCCCAGGGATTCGAAGCTAATTTGTGCCTCTGGCTTCTTTCCTGGACTGACTGGACCTTAGTCCTAAAGACTGACTACTTGGTTGAGGGTCCTGTTTACCAAGTCTCCCTACAGTGGCCTTGTGAGAAATATAAGGGTTCTTCAGAAGGTTCATGGAAATGGGTATTGTTACAAAAAATAAAATAAAATAAAAAGATTTCAAAATTCTTTTGCACCCAAATGAATTCATACTTTAATTCTCTTTCCTTTTTTAACCCACCCTTGTGTAATGGGTCTTGATAAATTTGTAAAAAAAATTAGGCTAGGGAGCCAGCAGGTGGTGTGGTGGTTGAGGTGTTTGAGTCCCACGTGGCTGACTGCAGTTCAAGTCCCAGACCTGGTGGTTTGCTTTCTCACTTTCCTCTGTCTCTCTCTGGTCAAATTAAAATGAAATTAATTAATTAATTATTTTTAAGTTAGGCTAGGTAAAGTGGTTTGTGCCTATATCAGTTACCTAAGAAGCTTAGGCAGGAGGATCACAAGTTCAAAGCCAGCCTTGGCAACATAACCAAAAGCTGCTTGTATTTAAAAAAAAAAAAAAAAAAAGGCCCAGCTTCAGTGGCATAGTCAGTGGTGTACTGAAAAGCCACGCTGGAAACCACATGGCTGGCCTCAGGTTCAGCCTGAAGCACGTGTGATCCTGATACGCTGCAGGGTGGGAGAAAGGGATCCCAGTGTGACAAGACCCTGTCAAGGGGACTTCTCTCTCTTGTGCAGGTACATGCTGCTCTCATGAATAAAATATAAACTTGAAAAAAAAAAAAGTAAAAATGCTCTTGTTCAGGCCAGCCCCATGTCCTAGTGGTTAAGGAAGCTGGATCTCACATGGCCGATCTCACGAGCCCCTATCTTGGCCTCTGGGGACTTGAAAAACACAATGGGCACGTGTGTGTGCCCCAAATCCTGATAGGACAGAGAAATGGAGAAGGGACCGTGCCCCATTTGGGAGTGCTTCCTCCCTCTTGGTGCTCTCTGGAACACACATGCCCTCTGGCAAATTAAACACAAACCTCTATTTGACTCACACCTAACCCCAGAAAAGGTCTCTTAACTAGGCAATGCTAGAAGAGGTGACACTACTTACCAGAAAGGGATACGCGTGGCCTTCATGTTCCTGGAGGGAGAACAGCTCGGCCCTGGGGAGGGAATACCTGAGACCTCAGGAGCTGCAGGGGAGCGGAGGGTGTGCCGTCTGCACTCGGCCCTTGATCCAGCACGCTGCCTGGCCAACTGTCTGCAGCAGGCACCTGACCTGTCCCAGACATCATCAATGGCAGCTCCTGAATGCTCCCCCCAACAACAACAGCAACAAAAGATAAACGTTTCTGAACACACAGACACAGTTCCAGTCTGGCTGATACAATAGTGTAGATTTCTGATGCCCAGGGAGGCTGGCTATGCCGCAAGTAGCAGTTGCGGCCACTCAGAGCAATGCAGTGGTGTCCTAAGTCTAAATTGACAATTCTTGAGCTGGGGTACCCTGTATGCCTTGCAGGTCCACTGGGGATGAAGATTGCTCATTGGTCTTACAGTGACTGGCAGTGACACCAAGATCGGCAGGTCATCTAAACTCCCTTATGTGAGCCCTTGTGGATGAAAGACTTAGGCTACATCCAGGCTGTCCAAAAGAGGGCCTGCAGGTCCCGATTCAAACCCTGCTGAAAATAGTCTTGTAAGATTCCGTTTGAGGCAAACAACAAACTTGGCCCCAGTCTCTGCTGGTCAGGTAAACCAGAGTGGTCAGCAGAATGACATAGTTGCATGAAAATTCACCAGAGATCAAAATGGGGAAGGACCTAGGAGCTTGGTTGTCAGAGTCCTGCATAGGTGACCCCACTCCTGCAGGTCTTGGCTGGGTGTGCTCAGAATGCCAGACCCTGACAGTTCTGCCCAGGTC